TTTGTCTATACAATCCCGACGACAAGGTTAGAAAATGTGGACCACAGCACTAGTGTTGACCTGTGATTATGGCAGGAATGGAAAGGGATTTTAGCAGCTCTCGTGTGTATCAGATGTGAACGCCGATGGGTCTGCTGGATACAAATTACATCTTTAGATGTTTACAAAGTTATGGTTAAGATAGCGTGAGGCCGAGCTAACACCTGGGTACAGTTATGCAAGTTAAAATATTGCCACAAATAAAACGTAAGTAATGATTTTAAATTCGTGCTGCTGCTGACTCCGCACAGTGCAACTTCAAATTTTCAAAGTTTTTTGATGTCTCGGTAGCTGTATGGTAGTGTACTCTTTAGGATGGATTTTGTAAAGCCAAATTTGTTTGCTGTCTAATCTTTGCCTCAGACACCTCGAATATATTTTTGTGAAATGGTACTAGCACTAAAAGCTATGGTTGTGACTACAACAGTTTGTCTAGCAAATGAAGGACACATTGCGCCATAGTAAGGTGTATTCATATTTTACGTAGTAAATTCTGGAGCCATGATGCATGAAGCAAAACCAATTAAAACCATTGTTGACTAGCATGTGTCGTGGCAGATGATACTGCGCTGTGATTCCCGTTAATCGCAATCTGGTATCGGGTCTCAACAGCATTCACCAAGATTATGCTTGACGATGCAAATAAGATGATTAATCGATCTAAGCCTGATGTATCGCGAAAGTTGCCGCTGTTACCAGCATTGCATTTAACACACCCTGGGAGACGAGGGTATAAAAACGCACGCGATGTATGTTTAAATGAAAAAGTGGTTATCGAATACAAATTTGCTTACGACACTTTGAAGAGATGTCTACCACAATTGTACAAAATTCATACTACACTCGGTGTCATTAAGAAAATTCAAAAGTTAATGAAGATTAAGGAACTTCGAAAAGAATTAAACGGGGGCTTCTAGCCGCATACATTTCTATATGAAAGATTATAAAACGTTTAGTCAAAGTA